ATTCCACTATCTGAGATATTCTTTATAATTAGGAATTATGTTCTATTGTTGTAGATCTTACCAAGACCCAGACGCCTACAACTCGTAGTGGTTCTGTTGTTGCCAGCGCATTTGATGAAAACTATCTCAACGTCTCCCAGTTTGTTCAGTTAATTGAATTGTTCCTTGGAGACGAGCCAAACAAACAGAGTTTTGATCAAGTTTTGAGGTACATCAAAAGTGGTTACGTGGAAACAGAAGAAGAAAAGTTGGCAAGATTGAAAAAGGTCAGTTTATGATTTTCTGTTATAAATTTGCCTTTGCGCTTTTATAATGTCACAATGTATAATGCTGAATATTTTCTGATTCAATTAAGTTTCGAGTTGTCATCCAATCTAGACAATAAGGCATTATATAAATGCTAGTGGTTTGCAATTGAGGCTAGGTACATGTCATACATGTATGATTTATTCCATTCAAAAGGGAATCTTTATTTGTGAAGATGTTTCTGCATAGAATCGTTTTATACTGATTAGCTAGTCTATCTAATCTACAGTATAGATTTTTGTTTTGAAATATTGTTTCTCATAACTGTTTAGTACCTACCAACTCAACTGTATCAGTATATATTTTATGTTTGAAAATACCAATAAAAAATGGTGACTATTTGTGGTCCATTTCTAGGTGATATCATACATATACCACTTCTCTGGATTTTCTTTACTTGTATCTATTAACCTTTAAGGTAGCGAGAAGGGAAATTTTCACTTTTTTCTTGATTTTTCAAAAATTGATAAAAAGGTTACTTTAGACCTTGATACATCATCCCAGGTTTAAAAAAGGTGGAAATTGCAAAATAATGTTGCTTAAATTGGTGTTTTAAAATGCTGGCAGAAAAGACTGCAACTGTCGTTTCGTGGATATTTGCATAATGTTTATCTTTGGAAGGGTTTAAATAATAACATCTTATATATATACTCTGTTGTTGACGATTCTGATATAACGGGTGATAAGCTTCCCGTCGCAAACAATGCGTGTTTATCCAACGTCCATTGTCAGCAATATTGTCAGCCGAGACTTCGTCGGAGAAACATGGTCATATAGTCCGGGCATACAGTACTCATTTCGCCCAACCTCCCGCTTTTACTCGACCGCTTATCGCTTAATTTCCACCATGCAGTCTTGTCTGACCGAAAACCGACCGCATTTTAATCACGTTTTTTTTTCCGCTCGCTCGCTCATTGAAACACTGACCGCTCGCCCAAACCCTGATCACGGGCACATGAGTGGTTGAAATGGTGGTTTTGATAGTAAAGTGTGAACATACAACTAGTATTAACTATTATTAAATTCTGAGTGACACTTCAAATGTAATAGTTGTATGACACTTGTATCGTGGAAGCTCTTATTACGTGTTTTGGGTGCTTGTTCCAGATATAAGAACTCTGGTAAAATTTGACATTCAATTTTCAAAAATAAGTCATGATCATTGAATGAGTTCAGTCTATGTGACCGTATACGTACCCTAAAAGTGTTCCCACAACAAATATTTTCGACTAAAAACGGCCACATGCCCTGTAAAAATCGGACATAGCTTGAAAAACATGTCAAATTTAGTTATAGCCATAAATATTTGGTGACCAGTCGATGAACAATTCAAAACTCAGGATTCACATAGAAGTCCTTCAGAGCTGAAAATCATCGACTCTACTCTGGTTTACTTTATTTCCCAACTTGCAGAGAAAACTGATTCGTCATTGACTGTAATGTATCTCAGCCTAGTATTTTCTTTTTGAACTGAGGTCAAATTCCACCCGTTTATCAAAATATACCGATGTTTTTCAGCGAATAATTTTCAAGCCTGTCACAGCACAAAAACACTATGTGAATCAACGCCGAAAATTGGATGGTACGACGACCCTTCAATTAGCGTCAAATATGCTTTGTTACAACATCAATGATTGGCTGAAAGTCACATGATCGGAGCACCACCTGGGTCACAGAACCATATTTGTCCATATTATCAACTTCGCAAAAGAACCACACCCACATTTTCTATCTTTTTTAGCGTGAGCGAGCGGGCTGGCGTTCGGTCGCAAAAGCTAATACCATTTTTTTCTATCGCAATGGCGAAGAAAAGAAAGCGTTGACAGACGGGGCAAAAAAAAATCTGCCACCCAAGTGTCGCACTCTGAAACAGCAATTTTTTTTCAAACATCGACCATTTTGTTTTACCATGAAAACTGTTTTATTAGATCTCTTATGTAACACTTGAAGGTAAAGCTTGTTTGTAAACTGTCAGCGTGTACAGTGGGACAGTAATGTTTGTCAGAGGATTATCCCTCGTTGCTTGTTTGCATAACAATGGAAACCCGAACGTTCCTGGAGTACGGACTCAAATGCCAGCAGTTTTCTTCATTTTTCATGCTCGAGATTGAAATTATTCATTATCTGACACTCTTTATGAGTTCTTTGATATCAGTGGTTAATATGTTTGGTCATTTTTAGTGTATATTTATAATAATGCAGCAAATCTACAGTGTTTATTTAACCAAAACTGTTTTTCGCGTTTTTCTCGAGTTGAAGTTTTGACTGAGTACGACTCATTGGGACCGCCGCCAAATCAAGTGCGTTCGGACTAGAACATTCAAACCCGCAGTTATTGTTCAAAAGATAATGATGGTGCGAAATATGTCTGGGTTTTTAAAGAAAATGCTTTGTCACGGAATAATAGTCTGTTAAAGGTGCCAAGTATGAAATAATTTGGGAACAAATAAACAAACCTGCATAGAAATCGAAATAATAGGTCTTTTGATTACCAGGGACACATTTCAATGGACTTGATTATGGACAATATATGACGTAAATTTCACCAGGAAATTCCGCAGTGGGCTCTCGCAATCGCGGACTAAGTCATTTTTACAAGGTTCGCCATTTTTTATGTCACGTGATAATTATGTAAACAATGACTGTCCAGTTTGTGCGAACTTGTACCTCTATACTTGCAATTAGCTAAATTACTGTTCTGAACGAGACAACAGACAGAGAATGTTTTATTCGAAAACGTCACAAAACCCTTCTCGCTACCTTAATTTCTCCTTAGAAATAATTTTAAAAAAATGTTTTTGAAATAATGCATGTTTATCACTGATATATGGTCAATGTCACAAGGTACTGTAAAACATGTTGAAAAAGCGACATACCATGATTTTAGCAAAATAATTTTGGTAAAATGATGTAATAGCAAAATGTTGGTTTAGCGAATCTCTCGAATCTTGTCATTGTTGATTTCCTGTTTTCACAACTGTCAAGTGTAATGAGGATGCGTTCCAGATTATTACATTTTCTATGTTGTTTACAAAGTGTGTGTGTGGTGAAAAAGACGTTTTTAGCCTTTTTGAATTTATAATAAAGTTATTAGCGACATCTTAAATTAGCGAATTAGTTCTCTCACTAAACTCGCTAAAAAGACATGCTCGCGAAGAAGACATGTTTTACAGTATACCCTGAATGTCCTGTCATGAATGAATAACACCATGTATGAATATAATGTACATGAATTGATGTAGAGAATGTATATGAGATTATTTGCATGCTAACACTATGTATTTGTTTTCATCACATACTACCCAATGATTATACAGGAGGAGAAGGTGATCTATGAGTTCAAACTTCACTAGTAATAAATATTAAAGGTTTTTTTGGTTTTTTTGTGAATGTAAAAATCGCTACTGATTTGTCTAAATGTTTACTGTGAATAGGATAAGCTGTGTGTTTTTTGTACATCTTTTCAAAGCTGCTTTTTTAACAGTTATGTATTATCAATCTTTATCATTAATTGATTTTGGAATGGTATGTTTTTGAAATTAGTCGTATCAACTTTTGACAACAAACCATTGCAGTGTAGTCTTACAAAAGTAACCAGCCTTGATTTCAAACTAGATCCTCTGAAGCTCAAAGTTATATTCAAAATCGGTGCTGTTTTGGAGCTTAAACTCTATGATCAAAAATTATAAACTCTGTTTCCATGGAAGCAAGTCTGGTTACCCTTTCTGTTTTGCTGAAATAAAATTTGATTGTACACGTGTAAACTT